TATGCGGACATTTTTCTCTTGATGACCAATATCCCTCAAGCTATACGAGATTTGATTAAGAAGATAGGAATACTTTTTTTAACTCGTGATGATAAGTATGTATATCTGGAATTCAAATTTGACTCACATGTATTTGGCTTAGTAGTCTTTCCGTTCAAAATAAATGTCGGGTTTTAGTTTAAATTTAAACCGACACTTATTTTGGAACGGAGGGAGTGTATTGTATAGGGAAGAAGGTATTATACTATTTCGTGGGGTGAGCGCTTTAAGCAGGATGGGTTGTCAGGGCTTCAAGTGGGCTTATCGTGGGTTAGTAGATAACAACGAGCAACTAGCAAGGTTGGATCGTTGGAGGCAAATAACAATGATGGGCGATGTTTAAATTTATGTTCCGTGGCAACGCACGGGCACTCAGCTAGTTTAGCTACATGTGTGAAAATGCTATGTTTTTTTAGAAGTACTGCTTGTAACAAATTCGACGACGCACTACAATTACAGTACAGCGGATCTAGTAAGCTATTGTACACAAGTACCAGACCAGAAAGTTACTAGCCGCTCAGATTGGAGAACACCATGCGTCCGAAAATTTTGTACCCACAGACGATTTTTCTACAGATCTTCGGCGTTCCTCCACCAATCCCTTTCTGCAATCACTGTGCTCCCCTCTAACCTGATGTTGCAAAACTCCCATGTGGTGGCTAAATTTCGTGTTTTGACCATTTTTTGAAAGTTAATCGAGATCTGACCTCAGTTTGCAAAAGTTTTAGGATCTGATCCTTTTCTTACCATCAGGATCCATGACGGTAGGTTATAACAGTCTACAGACAAGGTCCTTGGCGGTAGGGTTGCATGCCCTACAGTAATTTTTTTTTCCTAAGTATGAAACACAGTGTGTGTGCTCGCGCCTACCCTCTGACACCTTGACGGTGGGGTTGTACAGGCTACCGTCAGTCTGTTTAGTGATAGGAATGTTTCCTACTGTCAAGGTCCCTGGCGGTAGATTGTTACACACTACCGACATAGACCCTGGCGGCAGCAAAAGGGCCAGATCCCGAATTTTATGCAAACTAGGGTGAGATCTCGATTAACTTTCAGAAAAAGGTCAGAACATGAAATTTTGCCCCATGTGGTAGCAGGTGTAGTATATATTCAGGAACGGAGGAAGAAGTGTTTCATAATTCAGAATTTCGTACCCATGCATTGCATGCAGCTTTCGTACACTTGCGCAAGCGCATCTGCGTCGGCGCTATTTCGGGCTGTCCGTGGATGCAAAGCCTGTGGCAGCCAGCAAACCAGCTGCTGCCTACCTTTCCCGCAAAATAATAAATAAACAAAAATGAAAACCTGCTGCTGTCCGCACAGCGAATTCGCCTGCTTATTTATGAGCAAAGTGCGAATCCGGGACAGCAAATCAGCCGTCTTTTTCTCCTCGGCCCCGTGCGCGTGTACGTACTCCTGCGTACGTCCCCGTACCGTGCCGTGCCGTGCGTCTGCGCTCCTCTCTCCACATGGGGTGCTGGGGGCACCAGCGAGGACGGAAGCAGCTCCCTGACGTACGTTACACGCCGTTAGGGACACTAGCATGTGGGGCTGATTCACAGCGAGCCCACCTGTCAACCGCCGAACGGTACCCTGCCGCACGGCAGAGGATCCGCGTCCAGCGAGGACAGCATGCTGCCGTACAGGCCGCAACGCAAATTGAAACACAGCGTCTGAATAAACAAATGGACACCAATAAGCTCAGCATACAGTAATGCCTGTACACAGTACACACACGCACAAAAACGAGCCTCGATCTTGTTTTTTCTACGTATGGGAACCCATACGTAGAAGAAAACATGTAGCCGATGCCCGATGGTGCTCTGGAAAACGATAACGTGCTGAACAACGTTGCCATCTCAAACTCGGTGTAATTATGAAGAATTATCGAGCAAGCTCTCCTTTGGTTATCCCCTGGATCCGATCTCTCGTGCACAGAAATAAAATCACTGCCATCATCACCTTAAGGCTTTGTTCGGTTACACCTCCTCACAGGGGGATTGGGGTGGATTGAAGGAGGTTTTGACTTGTAGAGGATGTAATCCCTGCTAATCCCTGTCAAACCCTTTCATTTTCCCTGTCAACCGAACAGGCCCTAAAACAAATGCGCGCGCATCATGGAGCCCCACTAATTCTCGATGCATCGAGAGGTCGTCGCTGTCTTAATAATGTAATGTAATGGAGATGACGATCTATCGATCCTAACCCGTAGGTAGATCATAGCCTCACCCTGACCCAAATCATATCGATTGCAAATTGCATTGCATGGCCACATTCCTAGCATATGTGCACTTTCAATTCTCCTGGAGTGATAATGATATATACATCCATTGCTGACAAAAACATCCACATCCGACGCAATCATGGTGCTACTTAAACTGTTAAAGCCAGAGCTACTCCTACTAGTGAAGAATTAAGTTACCACCAACGTATGGCTAATTTTAACGGGAAGCTAAAAGAGTTTTGTCTAGTCTCGTGGATAGTTTTAAATAAATGATAAATTGACGTGTTTGATGTCATCTTGCTGGCATCCTTAGGTCACATAAGTGGCGGCTGAAGACGCTAGTATTGTGGAGAGACAAGGGTGCACGATCTGTCCACCTTTAGTTAGCATCCAATTCAGATTCTAATAAGCGATGTGGACACATGGTTAGCCTTAATGTGCAAGGTTACCATAATTGACCTTTTATACCGTTCTAAATTTCTTTTTGTCGCTGTCAGTTGATGCCGCCTATTCCCATCGAGCGTGCGAGCAAAACGTCGTGGCGCGAGTATTGCCATGTAATATAGATGATGTTAGTTGAAAATACACTTCGATAAGGACCACAAGGTGGTGGTGGTGGTGGTGTGCAGCAATCGTGCCAATCAAGGCCAAATAGTGATAAACAGTGCATAAAATGGACCAGGTACATCGTCGTCACGCCCCACGCCGTGTCCCCCTAGTATGGGGCTTGTCTACGCCCCTTGTGATGTGCACGCCGCTAATCATGACAATTTATGTTTGACCAATTTGACGGTTTATTATTCAAAAAAAAAAGTGACGATTTATTCTTCATATTGCGACATAAGCTCAAAGCGTCGCTTCTCCCCTTGCCATGAGAGCGATTTATTATCCAGTGAGTTTATTCCTAAGTTTATTTTGAGATGTGAGCCTAAATCTTCTATGTGTATATCGTCCTGATGGTCGGCAATTAATCAATAAAAAATGGGTTAATTTGATAAATGCCGCTTCAAATTTGGCCATTCCGAAAAAAGCCACTGCAATTTCCAAACTTTGAAAAATGCCATTTTCAGTGGCATTTTTCGAAGTCTGCAGTGGCGTTTATCAAAGTTTGCAAAAATTGCAGTGGCATTTAGCTAATTAACCCATAAAAAATACTTCTATTTTTGAATAAGGTAAAATAAGCAGTAGGTAAAACGCGGTTTGTTCCAGAAAAGAAAAGAAATTTCACCCCTCGACCTTTGACATGGTCCACATTTCAACCCTAGACCGTGTTGAGCCTTTTCCGAGTCGCTCTTCAGAACCAGTCCTCCCAAGTCCCAAGCCTCATCCTATATGGCACCAAAGTACTTGAGCACAAACACAATCGCTTGACATTGGTGTGCTTTTTTTCTGGTTTGTGATGTGTGAGGAACCACCACCAGGAAATGGAAGGAATGATTCAACCAAAAGCCAGCCATGGCCCATGAGCCATGGCCGGGCAAAGAAAGAAAGTCTCAGACACGGAACCAACGAAGCACCACATAAAATAAGCCTGGCCTTTTGTCCTTGCGTCCGCCGTTGACCGGCAGCAGACAGGGAGAGGTTCCCAGCCCAACTAACGAACCCAAACCGCCTCCACCACCACCACCACCTTCCCTCCGCCGCGCGCCAAAATCCAATCAATCCCGCCGCACGTGCGCCGCTCAAGCTCCTCCTCATTCCCTCCCATGGTCCACCCCCACCACCGCCGTGCTCATGCCGCGTCGTGCCGCCCGTAAACAAACGCCGCGGAGGGGGAGGTGGATTCTTTTTTCTCGGGTAGGAGGACGGCGCTGCCGCTGCTGCGCACAGTAGTACGGGACAGTTGTCCGGGGAGAATAGTTTAATTCTCCGGGCCGGGTGGGGGTGGGGTGCGGGGCCGGCCTAGGTAATGGCCGCCGTGCCCTCCTCGACCGTGCGCCTCCCGCACCTGCAGACCCCGCCCCGGCTTCCAGGGGTCGTCGTCTCCGCGCCCGCGCCGCCGCTCCTCTTCCCTTCCCCCCTATCCGCCTCGCCTTTCTTGTCGCGGCCTTCCCGGTGGTTACGGGGAGGAGTCGTTGGCCTAGCCCCTTCTTGGCTAATTTAGGAGGAGGGCCCTGCGCCTCTGGTGGGGGAGGAGGGATCGAGTCCACGGCTCTCCCGGGCGGCGCTGCGGTGGCCGGATTTGCTGGTGCCGGCGAAACTGCTGCCGATTCGGTGGGTTCCTGCTTCGCCTCCGCACTGCTGTGATTTCTGTTTCATTTCGTGCTGTTCTGTCTCCTGTTCATCCCTGCCTCTGTTGCGAGCTGTAATGTGCAGTGGATTCTCAAGATCCCGTGTGTCAGATACAGATAGGCAGGCTACTTTTGGGAAAGAGCATCCTCTGTGGATGTGGGGGCTGTTTTTTATGTGAAAGGTTTCTGTTTATTCTGGCTTGGGCCATACATCAGTTCTTCAGGTCTAGAGTGTGGGGATTTGAATTTGAACAACAATTTAGATCCAGGAGGTTCTTTTGGGGTGTAAATATTCTCCTTCATTCCCTTTTTATTTTCTGGGACAAGTGCATGCACATGCTTTCTTTCCCCTATTTATTTGTGCTGATGTCAGAGTTATCCCCCTGTTCATCTAATTAGTATTTCCTTGAGATGAACCGCGCAATCTTTAATTTCTATCCAATAATGTGGTCAGATTTGAGCCTGGAATAATAAGCTTCGGTTGTCTTCGGCGGACTTCAAAGCGAATGGCGTTTCCAGATGATGAAAAGATGAAGGTGCGTGTCTCTTGTTTCACCCCATTTTGCTCCTCTTTCTTAGTTTCAGAGATACATCATTGACTGAAGTATTTGACTTTACATCATTGTACTCCAGGGCTGTCGTCCAAAGATATTCGGGGCGAAAGATAAGAAAGCCGCGAAGAAGACAGACCGTCCAAGCTCCTCTGCTGGTAGTTAATCTTAATTCTTTTGGAAGCTGAATAACCGAGTCACTGTCTTGTAGTAATAAATAGATGAGCATAATTTTATCAAAATTTAGCTCATCTGGGTTCATTTTTTTTTGTTAAGTTGGTTGTCAGTTCATTAAGTCCATTGAGCCTCTGTCAACTTCGTATAATCCATGCTATGAAGAAGCAGCCAGTTCAATGGAATATGCTAGAATTCATGTGTTCAAGATTCAAGAATTACACATTTTGACATTTTGTATCGAATTCGGTACAATGTTAATAGGATTTCGTGATGATACTGTTCCATGTTCTCTTGTCATCTACTCATCTGTAGTTAAATCTGCACCAAGCTCCTCCAAGGCGCAATCTTCTTCCCCATTCAGACCACTTTCAGGTAGCTTTCTATCTGGCACTTTGCTGCACTGGATTACTCTTTGGATGCTGCTGGTTTTATTTGACTGTCTTATTCTTGTGTTTCTTTGGACTAATTGGAAGCAGAAGTTAGGAGCATGCGCGAAGTTCGGAGCATGCGTCTGAGCCATTTTCTAGCCCGTTCTCCAAGTGTCATAAAAACTGAATCTTTTAGGTCAGGTCAAACAGCCAAACTTGCATTTTCAGTTATGTGTCACTCTATAGTTGGAAATCATATTGGTCTCTTGAATTTTATTTAAATTCACTCATTATACAGGGTATTTATTTCTACATGGAACGTTGGAGGAAACACACCTACCGCTGAGTTGAATCTGGACGACTTCATTCCTGCAGATGACCACTCAGATATTTATGTTTTAGGGTATGTAATCCATCTGTTTCTCGCAGTTCTGAAATGTACGCCTGTCAATACTAGTAGTTGCAGACTTGCGGTGCCGAAAAATTCATAGAAGAATACGCAGTGATCGACTTACATACTTTCTGTACATTTCACTCCCCCTATTCATAAACTCGTACTAAATGTAAATTAATAAAAAACAGTATGTTATGCTTTCCTTTTTTTTTTGTTTCTTACAGTCCTTTGGGTGTTATTGACATTCTGGCATTTAATCTTTATCACAATAAGCTGTATTTTCCTTGGAGTTAAATTGGCTTGTTGCAGTGAACAGACAACATTCTTACGTCTTTTTTCTATCGTTCACACAGTTTTCAGGAAATTGTCCCTCTCAATGCTGGTAATGTGCTTGTGATCGAAGACAACGAACCAGCTGCAAGATGGCTTGCTCTTATAAACCGCACGCTAAACAGAACAGTTGACGGGGATGCTGATATCTTCTGTCACAAGCCATCTCTATCCCTTGATTCAACCTCTTCTCGATCTTCATCGAACCTTGATGCTTCTTTCTCCAACCGCTCTGGTTCTGCAATCTTCCAGTCCTCCTTAAAGTCTATCAGGAAGCCTTACATGCCAACTCAGAGAAAACTGCTCAAGATCTGCAACTGCTCAGTTGAAATGCCCAGGAAATCCTACAAAGATGCTTGCTTTGGATGCCCACAAGCATACATTAATGAGACCGACTCTTCGGAAGAAGATGAAGTTGATGACAGATCAAATAATGCTTCTGGTTATGTGGTTGATGGAGTGATTTCGTCTGCTTCTGCCTCTAGTGACCAGCTAAAATATAACCTCGTATCTTGCAAACGAATGGTTGGTATTTTTGTTACAGTATGGGCAAAGAAAGAACTAGTGCCGCATATCGGTCATGTGAGGACATCATGTGTAGGCCGTGGAGTAATGGGTTATCTTGGAAACAAGGTTAGAACTGAATCTGTATCCAAGTAATTCCTTTTGATTATGCAAGGTGTAGCATGCCCTAAATTTTTATGGAACTAAAAATGTTATGATAGTTGCAAAGACATTAACAAAGACAATTATGTAGTACTATGCTCATGCTCTGTTTCCTGTATCATGTTTTTTATCGGATTCAACATTTGGCTACAACAATAACAACTCCGCCAAAAAAACAGAACTGGAAAAAACTCTGAAGCATCCTAAATGGTAGATCCCTTAATTCTTTTATGCCTTGCACTTACCTTTTGGCTTCAGGGATGTATATCAGTGAGCATGACACTGCACCAGACAAGCTTTTGTTTCATCTGTAGCCATTTGGCTTCAGGTGAGAAAGAAGGCGACGAGTTGCGGCGCAACTCAGATGTTTTAGAGATACTGAGGGCCACGCAGTTTCCAAGAATTTGCAGAAGAGCTGGGCAAAGAATCCCTGAAAAAATTATTGACCATGAGTAAGATACTAATGCTACAATTATTTTAAAGCTTTTATTTTATTGTGCTGTTATCTGATTATTGTGCTATTTATTTTAGCCGGGTGATATGGTTGGGGGATCTGAACTACCGTATTTCCTTGAGCTATGAAGATACCAAGAAACTTCTGACGGAAAATAACTGGGATGCCCTTTTTCAAAAGGATCAAGTAAGCACCTAAAAAAATGGTGCCCATTTTTTTGTAATTAGTTGAGCGCAACTCAATTTCCCCAACGAGGAACTAAGCAAGTAAAGTAATGGAATGAGAAAAGACTTGACTTTGTAGAATTTTCATTTTCAGCTTAACACTGAGCGCGATTCTGGAAGGGTATTCAGGGGTTGGAGCGAAGAGAAGATATATTTTGCCCCCACATACAAGTACACTTTTAACTCAGATTCTTATTCTGGAGAAACTGCAACCTCAAAGAAAAAGAGGAGAACCCCAGCCTGGTATTTATCTTGTTCATATTAATTCATTTTATCTTACAAATAACTCCTACTTTAACAGCCATGACAACCTTTAGTACTCCCTCTGTTCACTTTTATAAGGCCTTGAAGACATTTCAGACAGGGTGCGAAGTAGCTCATTTTCAGTTGTCTAAAACGACTTACAAAAATGAACGGAGGGAGTAGTATTAATAATTAATTATGACGGTATGACCACAAATTATATTATATATCTGTGTATGACTTCAATAATCATGCATGCCCATCTTTGTGTGCCAGAAGAAGCTTAGACATAGTTTGTTCTCTTGAGATAAAACCAGGTATATTAGCACAAGCATATTGGTTAAAGTTGTGGAAGCAAAAACAATAGAACTATTCACATCATCACATAACTTACAAAGAGGATGTTTAAAAAATCTCAGTCTACATTTCAGTTGATGTATCTTTTTGTCTTGCAATTTAAGACCTAACTATACAATGAACCGCTCCCTCCATCCCATAATATAAGAGCGTTTTTGACACTAGTGTAAAAAATGCTCATATTATGGGACGGAGGGAGTATTAATGAGTTATCAGTTCATGTAAGCTAAGTAGTTCAACTTGTTCAGGTGTGATAGAATACTATGGCACGGAGATGGGATTGCGCAGTCATCCTACTTCCGTGGGGAGTCTAAATTTTCTGACCATCGTCCTGTCTGTGGATCATTCACTGTGGAAGTGTATTTGCTGGACGGCAAATCAAAGAGGCGCACATCTAACACTAATATTAGAATTGGTGCTGAAGAGCTCTTACCGACGAGTAAGAATAAGGTTACCAAAGGTGTGCACCTTCTTTATTTTCAGTTAATATGTGCAAAATAAAGCGCACCTATGAAAGTTTACATAAAGCAATGGGAACTCCAGTATATGCATAGACAAGTTAATAAGTATGATCATAATAACACTGCAGGTGCTGGGACCAAAACCACAAAATAAATCGGCTCATGTCATGCCACTCATGGAGGAAGGTGCTGAGGAAACTTTCTGCGGCTGCTGCTTGGTATCTGTTTCCAGCAAATTGTTTTCTCACAGAGAGAAAGGTGATTATTATGTTGTACAGTAAATGTAATCACATGTAGTTTTCCAATGGCAAGATTAGGTTATATACTTCAAAAATTCCCACGATATTCTTTTTTGTTGGTTCGGGTAGAGCAAGAAAGCCTCTGCACAGTTTTGCAAGTTGTGTCTTACAAACCACTGTAGTTGTAGATGTGTCAAGCTTGAGTTTTGTCTGGAGCAAAGTTGTACTGAACGAAGGCATCCAATCAAATTGTACAATACATTCTTTCTCATCTTGATACACAAGATCAGTGTGATGGTCATTTCTTGTGAATACTATTCATATTCTTCCTTTTTTTTCCTTGCTTTGTGTTCGTGATCTCATTTGGTAAAAGTAGAGGGAAAGCCCCAAATAAAGTCCACATGTTTCTTTTCAAAGAGGAAGCACATAATTCTTGAACTTGGTTCATGACCTGTAAGCCCAAAATAGATGATGCGGAATGATAAAAGGATCTGAGTTCAGGAATAATTATTCTCACAATTCGTGTTCAACCACATTTTTCTGTTTTTACGAAAGAATATATGCATTACTACCCATGCCATAAAAGCCACTTGCGAATTTACACATAAAACCACACAAGCAGCAAGGGCGCTTCAACTCAGATGGTTTTTATATGGAACAGTTAAATTCAGGCAACAAACAGAAAAATTCACAAATCAAAGAGGCATTTTAACTTGAAGATTGGGTCTACAAATATTGTAAGGATATATTCATGCGATAAACATCGTGTAATGCGGTCTTGAGTCGGATGGCTTGAAATTCAAATTGAAGGCTTGGCAAGTATTTTACGCGATATTGTGATAACCGCAAGTTTGAGCTTAGCTAAATTTGCTAGAATTGAGGGCAGAACTATGACTTGGATTGGTTCTGGCCCGTCAGATTCTTTAGAGCTAGCCGGTGCTGCTTGTATGGACACTGTGAATTTACCCGCAAAATTTTTGTTGCACTAAAACAAGGCATCCGATCAAAATGTTTTTTTTAGCAAAAGAGGGTTTCCCCTCCGATTTCATTTAAAGAAATCAAACAATATTCCAGAACAAGTTTGCAAGAACTCGACTCTAAACTGACTAAGAAACCAAATGAGCAGATATCCAAACCAGAACAGTGTAGGGTTTTTTCTCATCTTGATTTTCCATTTTGTGAATGAACACAATATTAGTATGATGGTCATTTCTTGTGAGTGCTATTCATATTATTGCTTTTTCCCCTGCCTTTTATGTTCGTGACCTCATTCAGCCAATTGCATCTGTTGCCGCTGTTTGTCTGCTGTTCTTGGCTGGTATTTGAGGAAAGCTTTGCTCCAAGCAAAGTAGAGGAAAAACGTTCGTGGGCAGTAAGTTGGAAGAAATAGATGATGCAGAATGATAAAATGATTTGAGTTCAGAAATATTATATCCACAATTTGTGTTCCATCGCATCCTTTTTCCTTTTACCAAAAATCATCGCATCACTACCGATGCCATAAAAGCTTCTTGCGATTTAAGTTCAGTCAACAAAACACAAGATTTCACAAATCAAAGGGGTGTTTTAACCTGAAAACCAGGTCCACAAGTAGTGTAGGAACACACAAACTAAGCCTAGTTTAGATGGTTAGTTTTCTTATGATGGAACCAACCCACCTCGGTTCGAGTCGTAAACTTGGCACGTTCTCGTGAAAAGCACCATATCGTACGGTGCTGAATCAAATGGTTTTAAATACAAATTCTGAATAGACATCGCGTCTAAGCTTTTGATAAACATATTGCTACGTGTAGTGGTTACTTTAAATCGGCGGTTATGGCCGCGACGGCGGTGTCCGGTGCTCTCACCACGTCGTCGACCCCGACTTTCAAGCACAATTATTTCATCAAGCGTCCCGGATGTGGTCGAGGCGCTGATTTCAAAGATGAGAAGGGTTTTTCCAGGCAGAAAGTCGATGTTCAACTCAAAGCTACCACTATAATATCAAAATTTGATGCAGACTTTTGTACAACTCTAAATAAAAACTCCACGGGGCCAGTGGAACACGACATCTCTGTGCGCACGTTTGGCGGTCGGTGCCCCCCATGATTTCGCCGGGCGTGCGCGCACGTTTCTTCGCTGCGTGACGGCCGTTGGATCGTCGGATTCTGACACGTGAGCGGCGCGGATCTCTCCCGCCTCGCAGCCCAGTCCCCCACTCCCTCCCTCCCCCTGAAGCGTGGCCACTGGCGACCACTCCCAGGCTCCACCTCGCCGCCACCGCCGCCGTCGCCGCGGCGTCTTCTCCGCCTCCCTGCCTCCATTGGTCGCCGGCGTCGGCTAGACAAAGAGGGAGAGGTCGGCTTAACTGCGATGGCGCGGGCTCCCCTTCCTGGCCCCGCTCTGTCCCTCCTCGCTGTCATCCTCCTCCTCGTCGGCCGCCGCGGCGCTGCCGGGGGCGGCGGCGGAGGCGGAGGAAGGGGCAGCTCCGTGTACCCGGCCCCCGTCGTCTACCCGCACCACTCCAGGCAGATCTCCTGGCATCCCAGGTCAGCCGATTTTTCCACCGCCCCTGCGCTCGCCTTGCTTCATCTCGCCTCCGATCTCGATTTGGGCGGGGTCGTCCAACCAGACGGCTGATACGTGCTTGATGGCCTGCGCAGGGCCTTCCTCTACCCGCACTTCCTCACCGACGACGAGGCCAACCACCTCGTCTCCCTCGTCAGTGCTTCTCCCGCTGCTCCCAGTCCCCCATAGAAACTCAGAGAGCTATTGCTGTGGGGCTGTGTCTGATTCTGGGGTTCTCCTGCTTGTTTAGGCCAGGGCGGAGCTCAAGAGGTCGGCGGTCGCCGATGACACGTCCGGCAAGAGCAAGCTCAGCGAGGTCCGCACCAGCTCCGGCACCTTCATCGGCAAGGGCCAGGTCGGCCATTTGCTTTTCAGCTCATAGGCATTATATCTTAGAAAAGAAAATTCCATGGATTGGTCATCTCTCTTGCATGTTTCATCTGAAATTTGAGCTCAGCATCTTATGTAGTACTACAATTTTCATGTTCCATAGCAATTACTCATATGTCATATGTACTCTCTTATAGGGCACTGTCTATATATGTACTCTTCATGTTCTTTTATTTCTCAAGGGAACAATATCTTGTTTATTTAGTGACTAGCCATAGCTGGGGTCCAGGAGTACAGTACAGTTCAGGTATTTTCTTCTGATGATCAATTTTTTCATCCGATGACCAATCATGTCCAAACTTGTAGGATCCAATTGTTGCTGGTATAGAGGATAAAATTGCCGCATGGACATTTCTTCCAAAAGGTTGTGAGACAATAACATTGCACTTTTCTATTCATGCATTTCGGGGGTGCTTATTATTGCAGTTTGTAGAGAATAAAAATATGTTCCATTTGTGAATTGTATTTGAGTTTGATAGGGGAAGAACTTTTTTTAGCTGGTTAGAATCCAGTCCAACGGACCTAACCAAACTGTGGACAGATCTTCATAGAAACATAAAAAATGTCCAAAAGAGGTAGAACTTTTGCCTTTCCATCAAGTTAGGAAAGGAGTTCTCTAAAAAAGTTGAGAAAAGAGTATGAAGTACAAATTCACTTCACACGGAGATACAAGTGCATCTAGCAGCTCAAGGTGTAGAAAAAGAGCTAAAACATCATACTGTCCTAGTTACCCTACGACATTGTACTAGTTGGCCAAATTCTATGCTCAAACTACCACAACATGTCACACACTATGTTCATCATTTCCATTTGTTTTCCTAATTGTATTTTGTGCTTTGCACAAGTTTTCAATGCAAAGGGTTAAGAGCCATGGTGTTTTACCCTCTTTGATCATGTCCACATTTGACTTGAGAACCTGTAGAACAGCTACGTGTTTTTACTTGGACATATCATGTATCTGTTGTGGTGTCAAACACTCAAACCCAATGCACTACAACACCTTTTGCTGTTGAGCATTGGCATTAGTTTGGACTTTGAATGTCATGTCATAAAAATCCTGGGCTTGATAAAGAGGATTTTTCAGGGTTATTTATTTGCTGCACTTCTGTTTATATATTCCAATTTTATGTGTATGGTAGAAAGTTGAACTTCAAGGGTCTGAGAGTCTTACTGTTTTCAGTTTTGCTTATAAGTGTTATAAAATGACCAGAGAACGGCGAAGATATGCAAGTTCTAAGATATAAGCGTGGTGAGAAGTATGAACCGCACCATGATTTCTTCACCGACAGTGTTAACACTATCCGTGGTGGACATCGTGTAGCTACTGTACTCTTGTACTTGACAGACGTTGCAGAAGGAGGGGAAACGGTTTTCCCCTTAGCCAAGGTAAATTTTCTTTCTTCACAGTGGTGGTGCTCAATAAGATAGAAAATGTGTCAGATTGCTGATTTTTCGTCTGAGCCAGTCGCAAGTAGCCATTAGCACCGTAGTGTTCTCCTGTACTTCTATTTTTGCGATGACTCCTGTACTTATTCCTAGATATGCCTATTCATTTGTCAAACAGGCACGTAAAGGATCACACCATAAAGATTTGTCAGAATGTGCACAGAAAGGACTTGCAGGTATAATTTTCGTGCTATTTTCCTTTTTGGCGGTCCTAATTCCCGAGTTACCAATTAGACACCCGAAACATTTCTTGACTGACATGCACCTGTATCCATCGTTCCTTAGTGAAACCACGAAAAGGGGACGCCCTTCTGTTCTTCAACCTTCGCCCCGACGCGGAGACAGACCCGTCGAGCCTCCATGGCGGATGCGAGGTCATCAAGGGGGAGAAATGGTCTGCCACGAAATGGATCCGCGTGGCCTCGTTTGACAAGGTCTATCACATGCCAGGCAACTGCACCGACAACAGCAACAGCTGCTCGCAGTGGGCGGCGCTGGGAGAGTGCACGAAGAACCCGGCGTACATGGTGGGAACCGCGGCGCTGCCCGGTCACTGTAGAAGGAGCTGCAACGTGTGTTAGCGCTGGAATGGAATCCTTGGAACGCCGCTTGTTGCTGGAGTTGGGGTTCATAAAGGAGCGGCAATGGCGGGTCGAACTGAGCTGGTGTCCCACGAGGTTTGGTCGTCCAGATGGTACCGGTTTCTTGTTACTCCCTGATGACAAGCTGGTTCCTGGCTACCAATGTTTATTTATTGATTTGTGCTAGGCAGGCAGAGATGGGTTGATTGTTAGAGTTGGTCCATGACAGGTTTCATGAGCTTGTGGTGCCGTTTTGTGTGGGTAGACTGTAGGGACTGTAATCTCTTTTCGCACTCTTGTGCTATACTAGTATATATATGTAGCACGAACACGCCCTGAATTTGACTACTGTGGCACTATTACAACGAACTGAGGGAGTGTTTGGTTCAGGGACTTTTTAGTTCCAAAGACTAGAAAAAGCCCCTAATAAGTCCTAGGAACCAAATGAGAGGGACTTTGGGACTAGAAAAAGACTTTACTGAAAAGTCTTTTTAATTAGTCTTTGAGACTTAAAAAAAGTCCTAGGACTTCTGAACCAAACACCCCCTGAATCGTTCATGTGCACAGAAGAGAATGTCGTTGGGCGCTTGCCCGTGGTGTGATGATGCTGAAGAGGAGGCGGTTTGCACGGAACTGCTGCAGATGAGGGAATTGAATGCCTCTCGTCTGGATCACGAGAGGGATTGCTGGCTGGTGATGCCTTTCATTCATTGCAACCGCAGAAAGTGCCTTGAATTCAATTCTTCATCGCCCCCGAAATGCGGAAATGGCTACTACTGTAGCCACCTTGCGGTTGCCGCCTTGCCTGACTTGCGAGGTTGCGACCGAAGGGGGAGACTTGTGTGAGATCTATGAGATCGATTTTTTTGAAAAGAAAAACATGCTCAAAGATTCTGAAAAATTGTGTAGACACATCAACGTTTGATGTACAATCTCAAAAAAGTTTCAGCTCCTAATTCAACTTACATTAATGGAAACAAAAAAGAATCGAATTTGAATAATATCAAAGTGCTATTCACCCACGCTTTCACTGTTCGCATTTGAATTTGTCTTTTTTGAATCTCTAAATGTACATCGAGTTTTCAGCTGATTTTTTTTTCCGGAGTTGCAGACATACCCCACATGGATGTACTCAAATAATTTCAGATTTTAAAAGAACATCTAAATATGATTTTTTTAGGGTTGATCTGACAATCTCATCTAAATGTCCCCGCGATATGAATGATTGAGCATACATTCATGCACTCATACGTAATGTACCGTGTTAGTAGAGTACAGCACGAAATTAGAAGGAATTTCGTGCTGTAATGGAGCATGGCAACCGGACGGGGGCACGCTTAGTTGATGCGACTGACGGATGTTTGTTCGGGCCACGGCTCGGCGTCACGACTCACGAGGAAGGTGTGATGCGAGGGCGCATGCGCACACGACAATGTTATCGAGAGTTGCTACACCTCAGGTCACGAACGAGTTTATGAGTGAGCGACGGATCAATTGATTAGCATAGCACATAACATGTTGGCCGGAAATAACTGGTACTGTATTTATCTACTATACCTAGAATCATCATACTGGAGTACTAGCACACACTGAGAAGCATGCCAATCATTCACGCGGCAGTTTTTTATCGAAGGATGAACAGCCTCGCTGGCCGTGTCCGCTTAGAAGAACACGATCCCGACGGCGAAGGAGGCGGCGAGGGCGACGAGAACGCCGGCGGCGTGGATGCTGCGCGCGGCGTGGCTGGGCTTCGGCGACGCCGGCGGCGAGGCGAACGGCGAAGGACCTGCGACGGAGATGGCATATACAGGAGTATATTAGTTGTACGCCTACTATACCACTGCAGTACTCTGCTCCATGGCACTAGTACGTGATGACAAGCACGTGAACTGAAACTGTGTCTATACTCTGCACCTACGAGCATACATGTGGCCACTGAATGCTTCAGCCTTACTTCGGTTTTTCTCTTCTTTTATTTATGTATATATATATTATATTTAACTAATACTCCCTCTGTTCGGAATTACTTGTCGCAAAAATGGATGTATCTAAACGTATTTTAGTTTTAGATACATCCATTTTCGAGACAAGTAATTCCGAACATCTAGTACTATCAATTTCTTGTAATTAATCATTCCTCTTGGTCTTTGACTCTTGGGCAGCCAGAAAGAATTATTAAACTGAAGCCACAACTGAAATTCTACTAGTACTGCATGCGGCGGCGCTTACCAGCAGGGTACTGCGGGCTGTCGCCGGGCGACATGGGCGAGGGAGATCCCGGCGCGGGCGCCGGAGATGGGCCCAGACGAACATTGTATCCCATTGCTGCGAGAATAATATCCACACAGATCAAATCCACCTCAATAGAGACTCGTAGAGCAGCAAATCCAGCGGCAACCTGCAGCGGAAGGGCTCGAGTTAGTTTATTACTACCTGCGCAGGTGCTGAGCGGCGGGGTGGCGACGCGGCAGACGCCGGGGAGCGCGAGCGCGCGGGCGTAGTCGACGGCGATGCCGAGGGAGTCGGCGGCCCCGGAGAGGAGCTCGCAGAGGCAGACGGGGTTGGAGCCCACCATGCCGGCCAGCTCCGGGCAGCACGGCTTGTCCGGCGCCCGCGCCTTGCTCCCGGCCTGCACGTACGGCAGGCAGTCCGTCATGTTGAGCAGCGAGTTGAGGCACGCCGCGCTCAGCCCCGCGGCCGGGCCCGGCGCCGCCGCCTTCGGGGGAGCCGAGGGTGGCACCGCCACGTGCGGCGCCTGCGCCTGCGCGCATGAGAGTGAGAGTGAAAGCGAGAGCAGCGCCGCCGCGACCAGCACGGCCGGCGCCGACCGCTGGCGTGGCGTCGCTGCGAGCGCCATGGCTGCGGCCTGCGGCGGTCAAGGGCGGGCGGCGGGTTTGTTGGGAAGCGGTGGGAGCGAATTAATGCGGTGGCGGACGGGAGGGAGGATGCGGGCGAGCGGTGCGGCTTGGAGCGTAGTAGTGCAGTGGCGGATCGGAGGTGGCGTTTATATAGCCGTGCAGCGTGGGGGAGGTGGCAACTGGGCTGCACCAGCCAGATGTTGTGTGCCATCGAATGAGCGGACTACGTGGCGAGCGGCGGCTGCCAACTTTCGGTGCATTTCAAGGGCATGCATATCTATCTCTAGGATTCGCAGGAATTTCACGTGAAATTTGGTTAGTTTTTTTTTTGAACACAAATTTGGTGAGAATTTGGCATGAATGAAACAGCGTGAATCCCGCAGGAAGCGGATACGAGAATTCACATCCCATCAAGCTCTGCAACCACTCAGAAAGCTCTCCGTGTGTCTACAATGGACACTCAATTCTTGCTGCAAAATGGAGATTGAGTTCGTGGGAGAAATAATGACCCCGTGCATGGTGCTTTCCAGTACGTGTTGTGGATGAGGATGGTGTCCTATTGCTAGCTTTGGAGGCTGTTTGTTAGCAATGGCGGCAATGACGGCAGCAAGAGCACGGTTAGAACCAGTCCGTTGCTCATAAACGAACGCGATGGTCGATCTATCCCGCCATTCCCATTACTGACGGAATGGAACGTCCGTCTTCTCCTCCTCCTGCTCTTCTTCTTCCTTGTCCGGCGATAAATGCGCTCCCGGCGGCGCACTCCACGACCGGTCGACGACGCCTGGCTGGAGGAGGACGAGGACGAGGACGACAGACACAGTTTGACTTTGGCATGCGCGATGCGTGCATGGCAGTGCACACACAGCTGTTCTTGCTCACACGGGCAGGCATTCAGATCAAGCAAAAAAATAGCAGTGTCAAAGTGGAGTGCGTGCCTTCTTTCTCCCTGGGAATCAATGGCGTCACGTCGCGCTGGGCGGTGCACGGCTGAGGCGATGGCAGATCAGGGGAGAGCATTTATGTTACAGGCTGCACGCACGGAGCCTGCCAACAAAATTCCCTACCATACCAGTGATATCGACAGTGATGGCAGAGCGGCTGATTGTTTTGTTTGCAAGACAAGTCAAGGAGACAATTCATACCTACTCCCTCCGTTCCAAATTACTTGTCTTCGATTTGTCTAGATACAGATGTATCTAGCACTAAAATGAGTCGAGATACTAGCACTAAAATGAGTCGAGATACATCCATATCTAGACAAATCTAAGACAAGTAATTCAGAACGGAGGGAGTAGTACGTACGTGAAACCAATTCAGCTCATCGATCGGATGGGAATGGGATCGATTCATTCCAGCGGGTTCGACGTAGTGCAGGTTGATTTACAGGCTACTGCTAGCGTCAGTCGGTCAGCGACCTACAGAGTGATATCGACAGCATTTCATTTCCACCGTAATAACCTCGAAACAGAAACACCACTCCTGACAGGGTCCTCCAGAAGCAAGCGCCCTCTTCTGTTCGATTCCATCAACCTGTCAAAGAGTAAGACAGCTTAATGGCATCAGAATGGAGTGACAGATTCTTCTTTCCATTCATAGGAAAATCAACAGCTCGAGTTCTCATCCTATCAACACCTGTAAAGTCATCACAAGCCGGCACCATAACGCCACCCTCGCTGAGATTTCAGATTTGCAAAATGAAATTACACACAAAGTGCGAATCCGTATATTAATTAAGATAGCCTGTGTATATCCCTTGAGAAAAACCACTCGAACCCCTTTAGTTCATGGTTATGTCACAGTGCAGGCATAATCAATGCGCGGATGGCTGTGATAGATATTCAACTAATGACAACATCTTTAAAGCGCATTATAAAGAGAAGTGCTATAAATATATTTAGATACCCCCACTGTTTTTATTTCCTCCACATATTAGATTTGACTGAAGTCACCAACTTTATAGAAAACAATATAAACATTTACCGTAAAAAATCTATATGATGTGGAAGTACATTCAATAACGAATCTAATGGTATTGATTTGTTATTGTATATGTTAGTATTTTTGTCTATAAACTTTGTCAAAGTTTACAAAGCTTGACTTTTACCAAAGCTAATACGCGGAGTAAATAAAAACGGAGGG